GTACCTGAAAGACCGAAACACCTGTATACTAAATTTCATGAAAATCGTTTTAGCCGTTTCCAATATTAAGATTTTATATATAGATATATGTATATATACAAGAATTGATCGTTTAAAGGTATTAGATTTTTTGTTAATATATACATATTATACATAGAAACACCCAAACAAAATTTAAAAATTAAATGTACACAAGTTGTTTGAACGGAGCGTGAATCGAACCCGCGACCTTTCGAGTAGTAGTCCGTTATACAAACCACTACACCATTGTTCACCGTCACTACCACCGTCAATAAGGTTGTTTTATTATCTGAGGACAAGCAATGTCAAGAAAAGAATGACACAAATGTTGTGTAATAGCTTGTGAACCTTATCTAACGTGTTACTAACTGTATAACTGCATCTCCCTTGCGCATGTTTACAGTGAACTTGCCATGAAAGACCATCAACTAACTATCTGTTGTTTTATACCCGATTGAAAAACAGAAAAAGTTTATTCGCTTGATGAACAGCAAGAAAAAAATTGTTCCCAAGTTAGTTGTCTGACAGTATAACTGCGGATTAAAACACTGGCCCTAAAAAGAACAATTAAAAAATATACTCTATTTTCAAGCTGTTAATTAGATTTAAATAGAAATAAAGTTGAAATTCAATTCAGGTCAGTATTGATGCATGTTAAGATTTTAAAATAAAAAGAGAACATTGTTAATTTTTTTACACCGACAACACGACGAAATGCTTTCTCAAAAATCAAATTAACTGCAAAAAAGTTGCATGTTACAATTATTTAACTTTGGCAGGAATCAAACTAATTAATAAATTGTCTCGGCAATAGAAGACAACATTTTATGACTCATTCATCAAGCCGGTTAATTCGCGAGAACGCAACATACGTCTTCTGAAAATAAGTGTGACGAAATTAGTTGTTTACGTACCTATTGTACATATTTATTTTAGGTATGTTAAAAGGAAGCGCTAATACCTTATCTATCAAGATAACCTTTTAGCATATTACTCTGGAATCATACTTGTGAATTCAGTAATACATTGATATCACGCTGTTATCACTACACAACACACTGGTGACAAATTGTCGGTTAAACTAGTGAACATAATACGTTATTTTTTACGTTAAAAATAAGACGAGTCAAAGTAGTCGGATGGATGTTCTAATTTTAAAAAAGTAGGTAAATTATTTTCTTATTATTATGTAAATAATAAAAAGCTTACATAATTGAGTCCGTTTTGAGCGTATAAGCTCCAGCAACACTGTGTTACTTTTTCATTTCTCTTTCAAACGTAGGAATAGTTATTATTAGTTTATGGTCACATTTGACATTGGTCTCAGTAATTTCAATTACTACCTTGTCATCCTCTTCTAGTCTTGTTATTATAAAATTATAAAAACCTACAATCAAAGTCAATCGATAGAAAATATCTGCCTGAATCTTATAAAACAGCTAAAATAGCTAACTAAAAAATGTCTAGGAACAATAAACATTTTCGTCAAGAAACGAGAGGATTGGTACAAAGACGCTTCGCTCCCACGGATAGTCGCAAAGAATTCAAATTTCAAAAACATACGTCATTTAAATTAAAGCATACTTTTATATTCCTAAAGTGCAGACATATTATTATTACATTATTAAATAAAAAGATCAAGTCAAAATATTTTATTAAATGTTTTTTATGAAATATACACAAATATTTTTGTGTGTAAAATCAATACAAATAATTTACTGATTCACTGATGTTAATAAATTTAATTTTAGATAATTTATATAAATAAAAATTATTGATAAAATTAACACAGATGTGTTAAATAATTAACAAAATTAATTAACCAACGAATTTTAGTACGCAAATGCAAAAAAATAAAACACGTGAATGATCCACCACTTGTTTATGATTATGACACATTTTCTGAAGGGTTCGTTGTACGCAGACGTAAAGACACGTGATACCATTAAGGGAGACGAAGATGACAGAAAACACTGAATACTTATAATCTATCTCATTCTCTCGCAGGCTAAAACCCATTTATGAATATGTTTGTCTCTTTTTACTTTCGCATTTTCATTTAATGGAATTTTCAAATCACAACGGTGCTAAAGAAGTTTCACTTCAAGAACCTTAAAAATTGTAACACCTTTGAAACGTCGAACATTTCATAATTGAAACCGGCTATTGAATGTTGCAATATGCAATAATCAGTGTAAATGAGAGCCAATGAGGGGTTCCGAGCAACGCGGATATAGACAGAGGTGAAAGTGGAGTGAAAGCTGCGCGCAACGTTTACCTAATCGCATTGGCTCGGCGCGGGAGTAGCGACGGGCCACGTTACATCAGCGAACACGACACATAAATGTGAAAGTCAATGTTATATTCGATAATCGTGCTGTTTGAGTCACACGTTGACTTGTAGACGGAATTTGCGACTTACCGTTACATTGGTACCGTTAAATGTATTAAAACATACCGCGCACTCGACTCTTCGCAAGGAAATATGTACATATATAGGCTCACTTCTTGTGTGGCTTTTGCGTAACTTATCAGATATTTACGGATCAAGGTAACGTTATTCTAAAGACTTTGAATAATCTTTAACATAGTTTCATCATCATCATCAACAGCCTTTAACAGTCCACTGCTGGACATAGGCCTCTCCTTAGAAAGGAGGTTTTGGCCTACTATACCACGCTGGCCAGACGGGTTGGTATAGGGTTTGTGTCAAGTTTAACATAGTTTATGATATGTCAAGTAATGTGTCCTAATATACCTAAAGTTTTAATGTTGTGAAACAATTGATTGACTTAAAAGAATGTTTTTGCGTTTCAGCCTGCTCCACTTCGATGTAGATTTGGTATTTATCACGTCAAAATTAGCTATGATTAAAATTCAATTAAAATAACGCGACTTAATTAATATGAGTAAACGACCCATTATAAACGAGTTACATGTCAGCGTATACCGATATTTTAAGACTGCACTGTATTAAGATAATAGTTTATAAAACCACAATTTAAAGCGAACCGGGCTGTTCTATTTGTCCTTGACATAAGGGATAAAATAATCGAACCAAATTAGTGCTAATGTTCTAAGTAAACAAATAAGGGGACGAGGTATTTGACGAAATGGAGCGTGCAGAGAAAGTGGTTGGATGTTATCGTAACGGTAAATGATAGTCGGTATCTAAGTAGGTCGGTGCTCGACGCACACTTTAACTGGTACAAACTGGTGTTATCTACTAAATAAGTATGTAGCTTTGTTTGTACACAAAAGTCTCATTTACAAATCAGACCAAATCTAGGACCCGTAGCAAAAAACAACTTTTTTACATAAAAATATTGAGTTTAGTTGATTTTATGTTATAATAATCAACAACAACAAATTAAATTGCACAAAAATATTCTTGTAATCGATCTCTGCCGAGTCTTATTTTGCATCATTTTCTAGTGTATTTGGAAAGTAGCGCTGTCTAACAGAATCAGATAATGACAACCCAAGGGTATTCCTGGTAAGCCTGGTTGCCCGGCAACGCAAACTAATGATACTTGAGCACAGCCAGTTGATATCAATAAGGGTTTTAAAGTGTGAATAACAAGACTAACAAGAGCCTTCCTTGAAGTACTGTCAGTATCTGTAGCGAGTAGGAAACGCCGTGACGACCGCCCGCGAGACCGCCTTGACCCACTTACTATGTAACTCTTCAAGCTAAGCTCTCGCTAGTCGTTAACACACACTTGCGATGAAATTTAAACGTGTTAAAATAAATTATAACTTTTGTAAAGTACCTTCCTACCTACTTTTCTATTTCTCTTATTATTATTTCTATCTTCTATTTTTTCTATTTATCTTCTATTTCTATTATTATTATTTTATACCAAGTTCTTCAACACGTGCAGAGCTTAGTGAATGAATTACTAGATTGAAGATCAGCTAGTTTCCAATGTTAAAATATAAAATGAATTGTCATAATTATTTTTTATTTCTCAAGAAATAAAACCAATACATTAACGAGGAACAATATTTATCATTTTTTACTCATTGGTCTGGTGGCCGTGAGCTTTCATCGACGAGGAAAAAAGCTATATACCTACCTACCTATATATACATATTGAATTCTGTTTAAAACACGAATTTGAGATAAGCTTACACAATCGTTTTAAAAACATAATTGAAGGTTTTGAAAAATAAGCTTTAGGTAGATATATCGCATAGATTGCAATGTACATAATATAAAGTCGATATAATAAAGAAGTATATAGTAATTAAACAAAAGAATGAGTGCACAGAATGTCAACCGTGTTCTAAATTTAGTGAACTTGCTCACGAGGTCGCGATGCGCGTCAGTCAAATCGTAAAGATGGCGCCCGTATATTCGCAATCTCTATGTCTCATTAGCTCTGCAGCCTTGCTCAACAATTCACAATGAGTAATTTATACATGTAGCAAATAGATTTAAAAGGCCAACAAAGCAAACAGCGTGAGAATTCGTAGAATGTTCACTGCACCTGCCTGAACTCTACGAATCACAATTTATTGCCGCCAGAAAAAAATTAACCTGCGCGATACGGACGGGTTCTTTTTTTGTTAAATTTAGATTCTATTTCGTTGATGGTGGACAATTTATTATAAAAAATTATATTCTAAGTATATGCGCGACCTCTTTAAATTTATTTCAATTTCGTGAAACAATGTTTAAAAAAGATGTGAATGACATCTTTTTTAAACATTGTTTACTTGTGTATGTTTTTATTGTATTGTCAACTTGGGTCAAGATTTGTTATCGTTTTAAAAGCGATTTAAGGAATATATATATATATATATATATTTACCATTCATATTCATATAATTTTTATTATACCTTTATATATATTTTATGAAAGATGGAAAATCTTCCATAGAATGTTGCCGAAAAAATAGCACGGTTTTATAAAGCCTATGGATAAAATATTAAATGTGATACTATACAGGTTTATAAAAAAAGGATTACTTACAATAGCCATTTAGCTGCAGAGAATCCAAATAGATACCAATCCAATTATGACACAAATCACTTGTTTACTGAGCATAACAATCAGAGAACTGTTGTTTAAGTGTACAACACTGCACTTTTATTTCAATCAATCAGCTTCAATACATCTGTCGATCTACACACACTGACCATGTATTTCACAAACTCCACTATAAGTTTCTTCATTAACAGAACAGTATAAGTAAGATTACATAAAACCACACACACCGTATCTGGGTTCACACCCAGTCCCAAGTAGGTACCTGTAACAAGACAAAGCGGTAGTAAGTTATACGATTTTTATTTATAATCACTAAGGATAAAACTTCGTTCTTGAACACAAAAAGTGAGTGAGTATAAGGCATGTGTCACTTACTGAATAGTGTGAGTTTTAAAATGATCACAAAATTAACAATGACGTATAGAAGTCTAGTAGCGGAGACGCAAAACGTGCAATTCATACGCCGTCCGAACGCTGACTGACTGGACTGGCGCAATAGAGTGGGGAGGGGCTCGGGGAGGGGAGAACAGGCAGACGGAGGACAAAGCGAGGGAGGGAGAGCGTCTAGTCGACTGGTTGGTCGACCTATTGGCTTGACACACACACTACAGCAATATCACATACAGAAGATTGTAGGCTGTCTTGTGTAGTGCGACAGTTATGGTTTTTCGAAATCTCCAAGTTTCTTCTACACTGACTGGTTCATATCTTATTTCATAGTTATATATTTTATATTTAAAAACATTGATTAGTTTGATTCAGACAGAACAGCTATCCGAAGTGCCCGAACTGAAAAGGTTAGCATGTTCCTAAAGATGCTTGTCGAATTGTTTGTATACCTGTAAACGAACTCCTTAAGTTGATTAACTTCAAAATAGATATCAGTTGCTATCGGATAGTTGGGGATACACATCAATAAGATAACTCTACTGATAACAAATGATAAATAGATAAAGACTTCTAATGTAATGTAATGTACCGCTTTAAAAACGTTAAACTTACGATGACGCGTTTTCGTGTAATGTGTTACTGATCAACGTTTCTGTGGTCCTCCACTAGTCTTTTGCTATTAGTTAAAATATTTTTAAAACTAAGAATTGAGGTGTTCGCATTATTATCTTCCTAGAATGTCAGACAATGTCGTATGAATATATTACTCAATGTGGCAAGGTTAAAAGCCTGAATTCGTCCCCATTTACAGTATCAGTTTCGTTTATTGAAATGAAACTAGATGTCAATGTGAAAACGAGAGAAAAAAACGAACCAATATGAAAAAGACGCAGAGTTTAGCACCGAGTAGACATTTATATCATAATCGATAAACATAAATCAAATGGGCTATAAAGCGAGAGGTAGAGAAACAAAACAAATATGACTATTGTTAAAATACTTGCGAATTATAGAATTGTTACTACATGCTTTCATTTGAAATGGTGATACGGTAGCAATTGAAATAACGTTTAAACATCAATTCCTAATTTCACATACAATGCAGCACAGGCCACTTGCTCAGGCCAACGCCGTACAACGTACCACACTACCACAGATAAATAAAAATAAATACGCAGAAATTCTTCGTGGGGGTAACGCACTTGTTTGGTTCTATATCCTTCTCTTTCGCGCACCGCAACAGTTTTTTGTTCATTCCTATGCCATGTCATCGCATTTTAAGCATTACAAGTTTATTTTAATGACGGCAGTTTAACTCGTGGCAATTTGCGAACCTTTTACTACACAACACTGTGCAGGTTGTGATTGCGAATTTATTTCGATGATGTTATTATGAAATTCCTATATACGAATAGTGAGCACTCAAGCATAGTAGGAAAACAACAGATTAAATTTGGTTAACGAGGTCACATCAACTAAAGGACGGAAAGAACTTATAGGGAGATAATGTAAGGAAAACTAACATTATTTCCTTATCTTTAGATACCAATTAATGAATAGAAGGTCGTTCTGGATCTGCTATAGGAAGGTACTCTTATTTATTTGCGTTTGTACATATGGGTTTTAAATAACTACGTTTCTCATGTCATATAATCGCTGTCTAAAAATATTTCAAGTAGTAAGTAACTCAAGTACTTGGTAAGGCAATGTATATTTTTCGATATTAAAAAATCATCAAGGTATTGCAAAACTGACAAGGTTAATAGTACTTACACGGTATACAACGCAGCACGCACAAGTTTAGCTTAAGCTCAGCACTTCAACACTGCAATCGACCGGTCACTATTACCACGTATTTCAATACTTTTTTATTTTATTGGAGAGTCCGGTATACGTGAACGTATCTCGGCGGTTGGACCAAGACTGGGACCAGTTCTAGAGAAAGTGACCGTTTCCAAGCAAATACTTTCGAAGTAATCGTTGAGTTTCGGTGTGTCGTGTACGCTTAACTCTGGCGGAATACCGTTACCCCCCTTTTGCGTAACCAGGTCGCACTTAAAGTGTTCATCATATCATCGTGGATGGTAACAAAATTTCACTTGTTCTGACAGATTGCGCAACCGCAATCATATTCTTTTTTCAAATTAAGTTGTCATGTGTGACATGTTATTAGATAGACAAGTTTTAAGCAAAAATATGTTTTGAAATATAATCTGAAGAGTTTTAAAAAGTTGTTTAATTAGCTACTGATAGGTGCTAAGAAATCATGACATGTAGAGACTAATCAAACGGTGTGACAATTACTAAACATGTAAAGGTGTATGCCTTATGTAGCCAGATGCAACAGATTTGCTTTACCTCTGTTGAATCTGTAATTTACGATGTAAGTACGTTAGATACAGCAGTAGATCTAAAATTTATAGTCTTTTATTGTCTTAAAAACATAAAATTGTGAACAAACTTCTAACTAAAAAAGCAGGTCTCCTTGTGTAAAAAAAAGGTAACAGATTCTCTGAAAGGAAAACGTCTTAACCCAAAAATTTGTGTTATGCAAGAATACCGACGATCTGTAATACAAAATATACATAACGAACTGTACATGTGTTTAGAAGCAAAATAAAAGTGTTTCGTGTCGAGGTATGACGGTATTTGTTTCCGTTACTCGAAACTGTGTCTTAACAGCTTTGCTTCATTTGTACAAGCAAACACGCACAGGCAACGCGCATTCAAACTTATGAATTACGACCAATAAAGCTGATACGAGAGTCAAAAAAACGTCTCCATCGATGAACCTAGTGTTTCATAGTTCGTTGTAAGAATGTAAGTCGATTAAAAACAATTTAACAGGTCCTTGATATAGATTGGTTGTGTACTAATTGGTGAAAATAACAAGAATTTCTGTAGGCAGTATATTACTAAAGTTAGAATTAATTTCCAGTTTAATCACAAGAAGAATTAGGCTTTTAATCTGATAACTCCTTCATTACATCAGAAAGTAAAAAAAATACAACAATCTTTGAATATAAATTTTTGTAAAAAAATCACTAGACATGCTGCCGATTGTTTTGACACTTATATTGCCTGCGACACTAGAAATAAATATAGATAAGGATATAATAAAGAAAAACTAACGAGAACACTCTTCTCAATTACCTTTTCAAACGAAGTTGAGTTATATGATTGGTAGGTATAACAGACCTACCAATCATATAAGTAAGTTTAATAGTTTTTAATGCTTAATATTTCTTTTGCTATCACTCGCAGGGTAATTTTATATTGATACATAAATGTATTGTCTGAAACAAAAGGTATAGAATAATGAAAATTATAATCCTTTTTACTGAATATTGATGTTGTATTCACATACATACATACTTTTTTAGTCCTGAATTTACAAAAGTTCGTTAAGTATATAATTTCCTATTCAAGTTAACAGTTTAATTTCGTTACTGTAATCGTCTGACAGTTAGAAAATCCAGGCTTGATTTTAAAATATTAGTATCTTGCCCAACATTTCATTGTAATCACAGCATGGGATTGAATCTTATATTTGTGTATAAAACACAGTTTGAGCAAGCCAAAGTCTACCGGCACATGCCGTTAAAGGTAACGCGCGTCAAACTGTTACAACTATAACTTTGTTGTATACGTCAACTATATACCTACCTAATCAACATTAATGCGAAGATAATAAATTCCCATTATCTGTATGTAAATAACGTTCAATGACACTTCCTTATCAAATTGTAAGTATTCATTTGCTATTTACTTTATTTAAATTATGACAAATATAAATGAGTTTGAATGTCGACCTATAATGTCACTGATTACTAGTGATCGGAATTTGGGTGCTATTTGAGGCGATATCACTAGTATGGATATGACGATATTTACGGGATTCCGGTAAATTTGATGCCGGTAATTTTGGTAAGCCTTAAAAATATTTGATTTTATTTTAAATGTGTGGAGATCGCGTTTGTTTAAGGAATACGTTTATTCATTAGTATTATGCCTTTATATTTAAACAGTAGAGACTTAAAAAGGAATAGTTAGGGTCATTCTGAAAAATGCAACAGAAAATAATTAAAACATTTTAAACATGAAATTGATTTTAGTTTTATGAATAGATCCTTTAACAATAGCTTAATATTCCCAGTTAGCTAAATGACGTCATTCCAAATTAAAAAAGGCGGAACGCCCAAAATGGCGGACCAGTTTTTATGCAATCTCATGATATAGATATTGAAACACTGGCTTTTATTATTTTTCATATTTTATTTACATTGATTTTTTAAACAAAAAAAGATGAAAAAGAATAAAAGTTTGTGTAACAATATCTTTTATACTACCTACAAATTTATTTATCTGTTGGTTAGACCGTAATTTACATGATTTACAAGACATAATTAACCTCGATTCTTTCAGATGTAGGTAGTGTCAACAAGTCCAGATCGTTTCGAAGCTTATGATTTGGCTACAACAAGTCATTTGTTAACTAATGCCTTTTGTTTTATGGGTATCGCAAACATGACAAGTGTGAGGCATGAAACTATCCAGAAGTAAATAGAGTCAGAACTTTGAATTATAAATACCCTGATTTGCCGCTGCCTCCACAGTTAGTAATTATAAGATACCTGGGTAGAGGCAGCATCGTACTACCCCAAACATTTCACTCAAATAAAAGACGTGTTTTCCCATTTAAACAGTTCTTAGCAGTTAAACAGTGCCTTAGAATGCAAATAAAAAATTAGTAAATAAAGAAAACTTAGAAGCAAATTTAAACGAAATTTATTTATATCATAAGAATTATAAAATGATCTATACTTGAATTACAAAAAAGTTGTATAACAATCAGAGACGCATTTCTTGCATTCGAAAATGTATTAAATTGGAAAGCATATGAAAGTATAAATAAAAAATTAAGAAAGTTATGGAAAGGAATCCTGACTTAGAAATTATAGGTGACCATAACATCAGGTATTGAAATTTTGCAATTAACGTCTTCAGATGCAGAACGATCTTTTTCAATTTATAAATGGATACTACATATCAAAAGAAACCGACTAAGTG